CTAGCAAGCATCATAAATCAGGCAACTCATCAATAAATCCTGAAGATCCCTAGCCTAACTCTAGCATGCTGTTCTATAAAGCTCAATAAAACAATTGTCATGTATGGTATTTTGGGGTTACTTACTGGCTCCGGCTGATCGTACCTCCGCGTCCTCCTTTACTTATTTTGAAAACCATTTTAAATTCTCTTTTTGAAAACTCTCCTCGATTTGAGACTGGAGTCACACAAGTGTTCCTCCAATTCACTCAAACCAAGGCTCTGATACCAACTTGTAACATCCGAAAAATACAACCAATTTAAATTTTTCAAAACAACCTGATTTTCATTAAAATGTTTACAAAAAGGTTTTCAATACAAGTCATTAGAGTATTCCCAGAATCACATTGCTACAAAATCATGAGGAGCGGTACGATCGCGCCTTCGCCTTGCCACAGTCTCCTGAAGAACCTGAAAAACATTAAACCACAACTGTAAGCCCGAAAGCTTAGTGAGATACCCCCAAAATACCAACCACGTATACGCCCTTCCAGGCTACGACCTTCCGGTCCAAAACATATAAAACATACATAACATAACAAAACATAGAACAACCATGCATATCGGGTCTACCGTGTGACTGGTCCGCCGTATCGGGCCTTCAGTCCAACGGATCCATCCTCCGGTCTAGTCATGTCCTTCGAGTCTACAGTGGGGTTGGTCCGCCCGCATCGGGCCTTCAACCCACCTGGTCCACTCTCTGAGTCTACAGTGTGACTGGTCCGCCCGCATCGGGCCTTCAGTCGGCCTGGTCCACTCTCCGAGCCTCGGCACGTCTGGTCCGCCCTCGTGGGGCCTACAGCCTATCCGGACCGCTCGCTGGGCCTTCGGAACAACCGGTCCGCCCTGGGTATCTTGGCCTACAGCACAAAGCAGGACCCGCCTCAACCCATCTCCAGTCCAAACAACCATGTGCACAAAACATACATTCATATAACAGTCATAGTCAACAAACCGAGCAAGCAGATCACATAGCATATCATTACCCTAACCGGGTTACCGACCTAACCGGTCACTAGCATAGCATCACTCTGTATATCGGGAAACTGACCTTAACAAGGCCTCCTAGCATGTACCATCCTAGCTACCAGGATGCAGACACATCAAACAATAACATAATAACCATAACCGAATCTCAATACAATAAAGGGCCGGCCTTGGTGCCTTAGACCCTGTTGATATAGTGAGGATAACTCACCTCGAAACTGCGGCTGAAAAGATAAGATCCCGCTGCTCCGAACTCTGGCACGAACTCCTCCACTAACATCAAAACATACAACTCAATAAATACCCTTAATTACCAAAATACCCCTGGAAGACAACTGGTCAACCTTGGACGAGTCAAAGTCAACCCCTGACTGACCCTACTCGCCGAGTCATCCCGATGACTCGCCGAGTCCTTATGCTCAGAACTTCCCTCAATTAGCGACCCAACTCGCCGAGTCACCCCAAGACTCGTCGAGTCCAACAACTCTGAGTCCACTCGCACCCAACTCACCGAGTCATCCCTTGACTCACCGATTCATCGACTCAACCAGAAATATTGGGACTTCCTCGACAAGACTCGCCGAGTCCAAATGGACTCGTCGAGTCCAAGGCCATCTTCAACCTACTCGCCGAGTTGTTCTTCCAACTCGTCGAGTCCAGGCCATCTTCAACCCATCGTGACTCGTCGAGTACCACCGTCTGAATCCATACAGAAGCATCTCAGGCCATGCAATTGATCCAAAACATAGATCCAACCTCCTACAATCCATCCATCACGTAAAGTGGCAAACTTTACGTGAATCTAACGAGATCTAAGCCATATTCACCTTAAAACCAAGGTTTGGGACATGGTGGCTTCACTAAGCACTCAAACACAGGAACTTTAATGCACTCTAGGCCTTCAATATTCCAGATCTGAGGTAGCAACCTCAGATCTATCCTCCAAACTCCAAAACATTCCAAGACATACTCCCTACAAACCCCAAAATGATGAAACTAGGAATGCACAACCTAAGGACGAAGATATTACCTCCAAAAGATGCCTCAATAGCAGCCAAACTCGAATCCAAGCAAAGCCCTTTGATCCAAGCCACTTCTCCTTCAAGATCTCTTCAAACAACACCTCTCCAAGCTCTAATTTGCTCCACAAATGATCTCTCCACGAATTTAGGGTTTCTGGAACTCAAGGGGGGAATAAGTGAGGTTGTGGAGTTGTATAATGCTCTTTATATAGGGCTCAACCACGAAAATTAGGGTTTTCTCCATACAGCACCTACTCGCCGAGTCCATCTAGGGACTCGCCGAGTAGGCCACTTGACACGCGACCATGACCGCGACCTGACTCGCCGAGTCATCCATGGACTCGCCGAGTCATCCTTTAAAACTTACACTTTCAGCCCTTCAACTCTACTCTTGCGATTCCGGGATGTTACAAAAAAAAATGTACCTTTTTTCTTCTCTATTTGGGTCCATAAAATCATCAAACAACAAAAAGTTAGGGGAATCATCAGAGATAAAAACACCATTTTATGTAGTACCTAAAGATAAGATGTCCTTCTCCAACTGCCCAAAGAAGCTCTAACAAAAATTATACACAATTTTCAGCAAAGAAATTCATTTTATAAAGCCTAACGCAGGGTAACACAGCAACAAAAAAGAAAGAAAACCCAATACTCAAAGATGATAATTGGATGTTGAAAGACTGAATATGACAGGAATATAAAGTGGTAAAAGACTGAAACAAATAGAAGATATGACATGATATGAAGAAAAGAAACTTGAAAAAAAGTAGTAAAGCAATTTAGACATGTTTTCCATATTTTGAATCACTGAATGACTTACTTCCTCAATCTACAATAGTAATAGGTCAGTTAAAGGGCACACTAAATAGCAATACTTCTTTTTTAAATCTAGAGAATTTATTAAACTTGTGAACATAAATTGAAACCAAATAAATGGGGAAAAGAAGAACCAAACCCCATATCCTTTTGCTACTGACCTGGCATGTTTTCATCAGCACTAACAGAAGAATCCTTGACATTTTTATCACTAAGAGAGGGTTTTTATTTGTCCTTTTGAGCTAAAGTTCTGACAATCATTGGAATTGGTGGTTTCTAGTAGATTGGAGAGGATTGGATTTAGCCTTTAGGAATATATATACATATTTTATATAAAAAAATTAAGAAACCAAATAAATGGGGAAAAGAGATAGTAGCTAACCTCAGAAGAATGGAGTCCTTTCAAACTAGACCACTCAATCTACTTATCATTCTTCCAGACAAGAGTTGGCCTCACATGCCATGACCTAACAATTGATGTCTTTCATTGAGCTGGAAAGGAAAAAAAGGTAAAAACTCAACACAGTTTATAAATTTTGAAGGAAAAGTCAGATAACAATACCTACCAGGAAACTGGACAGTTAAAGAAGTCAAATCAATCTTATTTGTGTCCATAACAATTGCTTCATGCCATCTACAAAAAACAGTAAAAAAATAGAGTTTGTGATGATTAATAAGTATTAACGATTGAAAATGTAATGAGTTGAGTTAAATGGTTACCTATCTTGTACCCAAACATCAACTTGATCTCCACTACTCCAAGCATAATATGAAAAGACTGTTATGCCCCTCTTTCTACTCCTTTCAAACTGCATGGTGGTCACATCAATATTTAATGCTCTTGTGTTCCAAGCTAATACACAGTTACCATCATTTGATAGAGAGATACAGTTCCATCAATCCGGATGTCAAATGTCCGTACAGTTCCGTCAACACTTCCAACAATAATCTCAGTTTTTGTTAAACAGATAGACATAACGCTGTCTAGAAAGGTGTCAATGATCTGTGAATCGATTAAAACTGTCATCAACTTTTGATAATATAAATATATAAAAAAAACTTCGTACAAACATAGATGTAGAAAAGGGAAAGGGAAAGGGAAAGGGAAAGAAAGCTAAACCCGAATTGGCTCAGTGCTGTGAGATCTACAGTCCCAGGCACGTAAGGAACGATCATACCCTGCTGATACAACAACAAATGCATATTCATTGAACTTTACTTCATTCACCTGCACAAAAATGGTGTTATGATTGTGGAATTATAAATATGTGTTATGTGATTGATAAATTGGTTTGTTAGGGAAATTACACACCTCACTGTCGTGACCTCGAAACTTTTTGATCACACGCCCAGTCGATTGGAAGAAGGAGGTTCAATTCAAATCATACTAACTACTCATTAGAACCAGCATACACGAGTGGTAAAAGTGTAGAAGAAAGGGAGCCTTTTGGCTGAAATAAAGATTCGCCATCAAATTCCTTCTTATTTCCTAGTTTTTTTGTGGCTTTGATTTTTCTGTCAGTTGTGCTAGCACCAATTGTTAGAACCCATGGAGCTATATTTGTTGCAGTGCCATTGAACGGACCTGAGTTCCCTGTTGCACAACTCACAAATATTCCTTTTTGGATAGTTGCAAATGAGGCTATTGCAATGCTGTCTTGAAAAAAGGCATGTTTTCTTCTCCAATAGAAATTGATATCACATCAGCTCCATCAGCTACTGCAGCATCAAGCCCGGTTAAGATGTCAGTCTCTGGCCAATCTAGACCAAAACATACTTTATAAACCGCCAGATGAGCATAAGGTGCCATCCCGACGGCTAATATTTCACTCTCTGGGCAATCTGGACAAAAAAGTAGACCATCGGTTCATTTTTTGTGATGGAAGTTTCGTTTGAGCAATTCAATGAATAGTTGGCATGCATGGTTCGAATAAAAAAATTCAAAAATATATAACAGGTGATAGTTACACCAAATCATCCACCATGGTTGATTAATCGATAGACCGACGCTCTATCTCAATTTATTGGTAATTACAAGGAGAGTGAAATAAAAAGGAAAGGGGGGAAGTGGTAGCATAGGAAAGAAAAAAGTTCAGAACTTTAAAAATCATAGTCTACGTACCTTCCAAAATTGAAGCCAAAACAACTCAAAACTGTTGATTCGTGGCTGGAATCGTTGTTGTGGTGCGATGTTGGAATGGTGGAGTCCGAGAGAAAACACAAATTATGATGGGTAGCTATCGTTGTTGTAATGCATGATTCATCAAAAGCCCTAGTTCTTCGGTCAATCGTCTATTTTGTGAAAGAATATTATCATTGCAAATGCGTTATGTCTGATTAGGGTTTGCATAGAGAAGGAGTGAAAGTCGATCGTAGAGGAAGGGGTTTGTAGAGAGAAGGAAGGGAGAGAATGAAATCGATCTGGTGGGTGTAGAGAGTACAGAGGAAGAGGAAGGCGGATGTTCAAAATTTTGGGGGAAGGAGAGACGAGAAGGTTGAGGTTTCGATTAGGGGTTGTTCAACAGGTAGCTTCGATTGACGGTTGATGAGTCGTAGTTGTCGATTAGCGCTACAATCGAAAGGAGTTGCAGTCACTGAACCATTTAACGCGAGGATCGGGTTTGAGACTAGAAGAGGCAATGAGGATTGGAGGCAATGGATGTGGGTGAGGGTGGAGACAAGGGAGAAGAAGGTGGGGGTTTAAAAAATTTGGGGATTTCATTTTCCCTCTAAGGAGAAGTGAGAAGCGTGTTTCTTAAACAAAATATAAAACGACATTCATAGACGACGCACCTTTTAGCTAAAGTGCCCTCCGTGTTTTTTATTTTTTTCCATTAGACACTAATTTAAGGGCACGCAATAATGCGCGACCTAAATCCTTAAATTTTTTGAAGAGATGACACTTATTTAACGTTACTCTCTTTTGCGTAACATATATCTCCGAGTGTCGTTGTTTGCGCGTCGTAAAAGGGTCTTTTTCTTGTAGTGTGCACTCCCCATATTCCTTAGGAACAAAATTTCCCTCTCATCCTCCATTCTCAATTGTCTTCTTATTATAGGGTTTATGTGTGAGCCATTAGAGGCATCATCCATTTGGTGCTAGTTTTCCAAGCTCTTTAAAGGAATGATTAAAGTAACTTGTCTGAGGTATGAAAACTATTAACCTTAATTTCTAGATTTCGAAATTAGCTAGGGTTTATTTTAGATTTTTTTTAGCTCATATTATGTTGCTTTAATGTGATGATACAGATCCTTATAAGTTTGCATTTGCCAAATCTTAATTGTTGAGTGATTTTCAGCTTAAGCATTTTAGTTATAAAATATTAAACCCATCAGTTGTATTAGAGCTTTGACTTGTCAAAGATTGATTGCACATGAGATGAATTGAACAATATTTTTTTCGAAAATTGTTGATCTCATGATGTAACAGATCCTCTGTCACGACATGAGATGTATTTTTTCCTAAATTTCTATTGTTATCTGCCTAATCTAATTTATGATATTATTTTTGGTAATCATCTGATATTGATTCTACCTGATTCCAAAATTCGAATGCCTTATTTGATAATTAATGAAACCCTAAATATTAGGAGATATCATCATTTGATAATTTAATTAGATAAATTAAAGTGAATTATACCTATTGAATTTAATAATTAATTTAATTGTAATAAAATTCCTTCTAGGTTTGAACTAATTATTTAATTATATGATAATTTAAATAATTAATGTTTAAACCTTGTATTTTGAAAATATTTAAAATACACATTATACTATATATGATTAAAATATTTAATATATTATATGTATAAGATAATTCAGTCAATCAAATATAGGCGTCATTCACGAAGCCATGTTATAAGGGAGTATAGAAACGGCCTAAAAATGACCATTGAATAGGTATCTATTCTCACCCGTTGCTGTCTTGTGTAGTGTAGGGTCGTTCACGGAATGGGTTGATAGGATATAACCTCTTAAAAGTATGATGCTAATAAAGTACTAGAATATTTTATACAAATCCTAACTCTAGTTAATTTAGGAATAATGTGAAGTTGTATGCTAACCCATGAAAACACATCACTTTTTTGAGTCGTTAGTAGAGCATGTGTGGTTAACCGTCACACTAATTTGGGACTATAAAGATGAAATGACGAAAAAACTCATGTTTATGATTGTTGATGGAGTATGTGTGGTTAACCGACACATCAATAGGAGATCATAAATCGATCAAGGGTGTTTGAGCGGGTTTGAATGATTATTCACATCTTAATTGTGATCATCGACATCCCAATCACAATTGGTAAGAGAATAATCAATATTAAACATGTCATTGATAAGATTCAATGAATTTTAAAAGATCTAGTATTCGTATTTGATTGAAATTGGTGAAATGTTATTGCTTCCTAAAATAGATTTGAATTGATTATGGTATCTCTCTTCAAAGCTCGAATAAAAAATATGGATCGTAGCATTAATTTAAGTTTATGGGTTAATAATTAATTGTTAAACTCAACTAGCTTGAATTATCTCTTGTCTGAAATTTTAGATGTCAAATCAAGACAATTATGGTCTTCCTCATTCTTATGGAAATGGTTTTCCTTAATCGTCTGGAGATGGTCTTCCACTTTCAAGCCAAGGTGAAAATGTCTTCCCTTCCTTAGGAAATGGTGGAAACGTACATCGTCTCGCTTCAACTCTTCCACCTCCTCCTCGTGGGACTCTCCTAACGTCCTGTTTTCTTCGAGTTGAAAGATATGAAACTACTCAAGCTCTATTAGCATGTGAACATTGAGGTGGAAATTATGTGTGTGTGTGCACATTCTGAAAATTAATTCATACATTGACAAATTAAAAAGGACGGGTATCATAATCCCAAAGGAGCAAGCCATTGATTTGGTTTTTCTTTCTTTTCCCGATTCATATTGTCAGTTCGTTAAGAACTTTCATATGAGGAGTCTCGATGTGACCCTAATTGATCTGGATGAGATATTAATAACTGTAAAAGACGAGATACTTAAGAGTAAAACTGAAGTAGAAATTCTTAAAGGATTTAACTCCAAAAGTTCATTGGATGTGAACAATGTTAATCATGAAAATTTTTCTCTTTCCAATCGAAAGAGATCGGCCAAGATGAAACCATTTAATCGTATGGTAAAGAGAAAGGCTAATCGTTCCCAATGTTGACCCTAATGAATCCATTTGTTTCTACTACCAACTAAAGGGACATTAGAAGTGAAACTATACAAACTACCTAAAAGATTTTAAAGATGGCAAACTCAATTTATATAACTCTAATTCAGGTACATCCATTATCTAACTCCATAACTTCATATTCTTAGATTCTTAATACATAATGTGATGATCACATTTTGATGGTGTGGCAGGATCTAAAAGAAAAAAGGAAGCTTAAGTAGAGTGAGCTAAATCTGATCCTAAAAGATAGACTTTGGTTGCGTGGTTCGATGGTCAGAATTTAGAACTACTTATAAGGTGTCACACCCCAAAACCGAAGGCAGAAACATTTTGGGGCGGTGGACATCATGTAAAGTATCACAACCAATGTACATAATAAGCACAGTAAACACATCCATTACATTACATAGAAGTATTTACAAATTGTTTGAAAGTAAAGTTATACATGATTATAGATATATACATCCAAAATGAACAAAAGTAAAGACGAGACTGCTAAAATGCTCCGTCTTCTCCAAAAGATCGCGGGTACCTGTCTAATGTGGACCTGAGAATACAAGCAGTTTTGAAAATATCAGCATAAAGTTGGTGAGTTCATAAGCGATTTGTTTCTGAAAATGAACAAGTTTCCTTTGGTTTTCTGAAAAAGTTGTTATCCAAGAAAATCCCATATTTTCTTATAAGTAAAGTTTAGTTATCCGTTTGTAACACAATCTGGTTAAGAACAGTTTAGTTATCCCAGGAAAAACCCTTATTTTCCTTAAAAATTTGAGTTGGTTATCGATTCGGAATGCAGTGTACAATATCTACCATACTTGTAATGTTAAGAAAAGTATTCTGAAAGCTTGGTTATCTTTGAAAAGTACATTAGTTTTAACACGTATATAAAACTAATAAATAAGTAGAAAAGTTTTCATAATATAAATTGCGAGTTCCATAACCATACAATAGATTAGATAAGGCTCGGAATGGGGCCAATATCGTTTTATGACTTTTGTCACCCTTGGACCTTTCGGTCCGGTGCGGGGCAGTCAATCCCGTATAGATCTATACACTTAAGTCACGTTCTCCCTCCAAGAGATTCTGGTTACGGGGGTACTTCTACACTCACGTAACTAGGGGGAGTGTTACAAGGACGTGTCTCCAATCTTAAGATTAATGAATTAAAAGATAATAAAACGGGAAATTCTGTTTTATTGGTCCTTCACTCTCGTATCTAGGGGGAGTGTTATCAAGGATGTGTCTAAAGTTCTAAATTTAATGTTATTAGTCCTTCTCTCTCATATCTAGGGGGAGTGTTATCAAGGACGTGGCTAAAGTTCTAAGTTTAATGTTATTAGTCCTTCACTCTCGTATCTAGGGGGAGTGTTATCAAGGATAATTTTTAAAGTTCTAAGGTTCATGCTTTTAATAGTAATGATACGGAAAATCATTTGTGAAATATAAAATATAGCACTTTATGATGAGTTTCACAAATAGTTTGACAATTTACTCTGCAAGTTAAACGGTTGGTTAGTATGGTTTCCAATGTTAAAAGCGTACGAAATATGAAACATTTCAATTGAAATCATAAGTTTGAGTACAATATTTCCTTGTACTTTTGCTTGTATTCCCCCT